GCTCAGTCATTAAAAGCACTTGTTGCTCTTTCAGAAGAGCCAGGTATGGTTCTCAGTACCCTCATGACAGTTGACAACAATCTGTACCTCTAAGCTCCAGAAGATCCAATTGACTTTTCTGATCTCTCTGGGCACCAGACATGCATGTGTTGTACATATATGCATACAGGCAAAACACTTATGCAAATAAAAAATTCAAAAATTAGCATACAAAATAATTTGTTTCATTATAATATTTATAGTATATGTTTATAATATTTATAAATATATATAAATATTTATAAATATTTATAATATAATATAGTACGTGGCCTCATACTTAGTTATATTTTATTTGCTCCACTACTGCCCTACCTGTGTCCTCTGCCTCTTATTCTAGCCAGTCCCCTTTCCTCTTGCAAACTGCCGTCCCTTTTGCTTTCACATGACACGCGCTCATTATTTTAAAGTTTTGGAGACAAGGTCTTCCTTTGTAGTTTTGGATGTTCCAGAACTCACTAAATATATCAGGCTAACCCATTTTGGACTCTTGCTGTTTCTGCTTCCCGTGTGTTGAAATTACAGGTGTGTGCCACTACTATTATATTTTTGCACTTAAAAATGGCATTTTGGGGGATTATCAGTTTGATCTAGCTTGGCAGTAGATGACTTGTCTAGCAAATACAAGGTCCTGGGTTCCTATTTCAATACTCTTTCTTTTTAAAATAGTTTTTAAAATCACCTTTCTTTATTTTTTGTTTATATATGTGTGTGTGTGTGTGCATGTCACAGCAGGTGTGTAGAGGTCAGAGGACAACCTGCAGGAACTGATACTCTCCATCCACCTTGTGGGTCTCAGGGGTTGAACTCAGCTTTTCAGTCTTGGGAGTAAGTGTCTTTCATCCACTGAGCCATCTTACCAGCCCCAATACACTGTTTTGAATACTGAAAATATACATATGTAACTAAAATTTGGTGGATAATTTTCCAGATATTTCCATAATATTCCATAGTTGTTTCCTTCTCAATTAATATAATTTTTGTTTCCTAGCCACTATTTTAAAAGCAGATGCATATTTTAAAAGAAATATCATTCCCTCCATTCAACTGAGCTGATCAAACAGTGGCTGTCCATCTCAGCTTCACAATCCCAAGATACCATTTGAATTGTGCTATCATCCTGAAAAATCTAAAAGGTATTGAAACCAAGAAGAACAATTTTTATCCACTCCTCCTCCTTCCAGGTTATTTATGAACCATTCTGGCTCCATTGTCACTGTTAAATTATAGTGTACTTGTCTACTTAGAGTTTTCCTTATCTCTTTATCTACTTTATAGTCTATAGCATTTCAACAATGCATTTCTACTATTTATTGACTTCTGTTTTTTAAAATTAATTTTTGGTATTTATCTTTTTTCCTTTTTATTTATTCTCTCATATATTATATCCCAACCAGTTTCTCCTTTCTCCTCTTCTCCCAGTTTCTCCCTTATACCTCTTCTCTCCCCCAGATCCACTCCTCTTTCATTTCCCTTCAAGAAAAAAAAAAAAAAAGAAGAGCAGGCATCCCAGAGATATCAACCAAACATGGCATAACAAGATACAATAAGAACAGTCACCTCCCTTCATATTAAGGCTGCATGAGACAACCCAGTAGGAGGAAAAGGATCCCCAATGCAGTCAGCAGAGTTAGAGGAACCCTCACTCCCACTGTTCGGAGTCCCACAAGAAGAGCAAGGTATGCAATATATACAGAGGACCCAGGTCATTCTCATGCAGGCTCCCTGATTGTAAGTTGTGTCTCTGTGAGCCCCTTTGAACCTATGTTAATTGATTCTGTAGGTTTTCTTGGAGTGTCCTTGACACCTCTGGCTCCTACAATCCTTCCTCCCCATCTTCCACAAGATTTCTTTTTCAATCTATTTGTTCTTTGTATATAAGAGGGCTACTGATCTTTTTAGAGTTAATCTTGTATCCAGCCTCTTTGCTGAAGGTGTTTATCAGCTGTAGGAATTCCATGGTAGAGTTTTTCAGGTCACTTATGTTTATTATCATATAATCTGTGAATAGCAATACTTTGACCTCTTCCTTTCCAGTCTGTATCCCCTTGATCTCCTTTAGTTGTCTTATTGCTCTTGAGAATTGCACACATGACTACTGTATTTAGATCATTTCCACCTCACCCTCGCTACCTCCAACTCCTCTTATAGCCTTCTACTATTTCATAATTATTGTTACACATACCACACACACATACATTTAATGTTGTTTATTTAATGAGTTGTTTATATGCATACCAGAATTACATTTTTTTTCTGTTTTCTCTTAGGGTATCACATGGGGGGGTTATCTTAGATTTTCTTTTCTTTTTTTATTTTTAAATTCTTTATTAATTACATTTTATTCACTTTGTATCCCCCTGTGGTTCCCTCCCTCCTCCTGTCCCAATCCCTCCCTCTGCATGCATGCCCCTCCCAAGTCCACTGATAGGGGAGGTCTTCTTTTCCTTCCTTCTGATCCTAGTCAATTAGGTCTCATCAGGAGTGGCTGTATTGTCTTCCTCTGTGGTCTGGTAATGCTACTTCCCCCTCAGGGGGAGGTAATTAAAGAACAGGCCAATCAGTTCATGTCAGAGACAGTCCCTGTTCCAATTACTATGGAACCCACATGGATACTGAACTGTCATGGGCTACATCTGTGCAGGGGTCTTAGGTTATCTTCATGCATGGTACTTGGTTGGAGTATCAGTCTCAGGAAAGACCCCTATGTTCAGATTTTTTTTGTTCTGTTGCTCTTCTTGTGGAGTCCCTGTCCTCTCCAGATCTTACTGTTTCCCACTTCTTTCATAAGATTCCCTGCGCTCTGCCCAAAGGTTGCCCATAAGTCTCAGCATCTGCATTGATAGTCTGCAGGGCAGAGCCTTTCAGAGGTCCTCTGTGTCAGGCTCCTGACTTGTTTCCTGCTTTCTTCTTCTTCTGATGTCCATCCTCTTTGCCTTTCGGGATGGGGATTGAACATTTTAGTCAGGGTCCTCCTTCTTGATTAGTATCTTTAGATGTACAGATTTTAGTAGGTTTATCCTATATTATATATCTATATGAGTGAGTATATACTATATATACTCATACATCTATATGAGTGCATCTTTCTGCTTCTGGGATAGCTCACTCAGGATGATCTTTTCCAGATCCCACCATTTACCTGCAAATTTCATGATTTCCTTGTTTTTTATTGCTGAGTAATATTCCATTGTATAGATATACCACAATTTCTGTATCCATTCTTCAACTGAGGGACATCTGGGTTGTTTCCAGCTTCTGGCTATTACAAATAAAGCTGCTACAAACATGGTTGAGCAAATGTCCTTATTGTGTTCTTGAGCCTCTTTTGGGTATATGCCTAGGAGTGGTATGGCTGGATCTTGAGGAAGCGCTATTCCTAGTTGTCTGAGAAAGTGCCAGATTGCTTTCCAGAGTGGTTGTACAAGTTTACATTCCTACCAACAGTGGAGGAGTGTTCCCCTGTCTCCACAAGCTCTCCAGCATGTGTTGTCACTTGAGTTTTTGATCTTAGCCATTGTGATGGGTGTAAAGTGAAATCCTAAAATCATTTGTTAACTGCTGTCTCAGTTCATGATGAAACAAAGCCAAGCAACTTGTGCATATATAGCTATAGGACAGAGGTCTAGATTCAGGATATAGTCATCACTAGTCTGAGTCATTTATAACAGATATTGTAAACCAATGCTGTAAGTTCACATTTTGATGAATATAATGACAAAAATTAATCATAGCCAAAAAATAACAATGGAGTAAAAAAAAATCTACTACTTTGCACAGGTAACACATGAGTTTTTATAAAGTAATGACATTTTTGAACAATAACATGTAATTTTATTTAGGGAGCTTAAACAATCATATAGGGACACACTTTATGCATTCCTGAACGTGTTCAAATTAACGTCATAGTTCAAAAATGAAAGATGTCAGACACAAATTTGGGTGTGCTTAGTGAACACTTGAAAGGTTACAAAAATGGCAGTCAAGAACATGTTGTGCCACGCTCAGCTTTACCTCAAAATACTTACCTCAATTAACAGTCAACAACTTGAACTCCAGTTCCTCCTCTGGGCTTCCAGCATTTTTTCTTGAGATTCTAATCATTTTTTTCATCTTCACTTCCCAACCCCTACCCCACAGAATACAAGCAATTGTACCAATCACAGAAGCAGCATTGTAGGCACCATTTAAATAGTTTCTAACATTGTGCAAATCAAATTTATTGTACCGAGTACCTCTCTGTGATCTCTCTGCTACTCAGATTGGACCTTGATTAATGTAGGAGTTATTCTAAGGCAACATCCGTGCAACATCCTTCATGATTTGTTTTGAGCCTAACTGTACCTCATTTCATTCCCTGTGACTGTACTGAATAGGTACATTGATAATATTTTTTATATATATTTAATGATACTTTGACCTCTTGGGGTTTAATTCTTCTTCCCAAGAGACTCCCCTTTCCACCCTTAGCTAAATCCTTGAGATAGTCATCCAACCCCTTATAGGTACACCTG